GAAAGAAAGAAAGAAAGAAAGAAAGAAAGAAAGAAAGAAAGAATATATGGGCCTGGAGATGGCTCAGCAGTTAACAGTACTTGCTGCTCTTACAAAGGGCAGCACTTCAGGGCTGGAGAGATGGCTCAGTGGTTAAGAACACTGGTTGTTCTTGCAGAAGATCCAGGTTCGAATCCCAGCACCCACATGGCAGCTAACAACTGTCTGCAACTCCAGTCCCAGGGAATCTGACAGGCTCTTCCAACTTCGGCAGGCACCGCACAACATGGGTACACTTACCTGCATATAGGCAATACACGCATACACATAAAATAAAAATAATAAATAAATTTTTTTTTTTAAAAAAAAGGGCAGCACTTCTAGTTGGGTGGCTTACACCTGCCTATAACTCAAGTTCCAGAACACTCTCTTCCAGCTTCTAGGGCACCTGCACTCATGTGCACACACCACTCACAGACATACAAGCAAACACATTAAAAAACATCTTTAAGGGGGCTGGAGAGATGACTCAGCAGTTAAGAACACTGGTTGTTCTTGCAGAAGACCCAGGTTCGAATCCCAGTACCCACATGGCAGCTAACAACTGTCCATAACTCCAGTTCCAGGGGATCCAACAGCCTCTTCTGTCCTCCGCAGGCATTGCACGACACGTGTGCACTTACCTACATGCAGGCAATACACACACACACATTAAAAAAAAATAATAAATAAATTTTTTTTTTAAATCTTTAAGTCGGGCGTGATGGCACGCACATTTAATCCCAGCACTTGGGAGGCAGAGGCAGGTGGATCTCTGTGAGTTCAAGGCCAGCCTGGTCTACATAGTGAGTTCCAGTCCAGCTGGAGCTACAGGAAAACCCTGTCTCAAAAAGACCGAAAAAAAAAAAAGCCAGGTATCTTTTCCCAGGGATCCAGTCACAAGTAAGTTGGAAAAAAGTATACAAATCCAAGAATCCTGTTTCCCATTTGTGAAATTTGGGGAGTTAATGAATACAATTTTTTAGAATCTAGAACTCCTACTGAAGGCTGTTCACTACTTAATTAAACCAGATAAACATGATCATTCTTGATTTTCCTGAAGGTTATTTATTGTAACTGTCAAAGCACACCAAACCTGTCCATAGGTAATGCTTAAGATCTGCTTATATTTGTTCCTAAAATCATTTGTTCTAGAATGTTCAAATATATCAAGTTTTTAAGCTGACAGCCCTTTTACCTCATTTTGTAATTAGGTTTATTCTTCTAAAGGTTCACTTGAATTTTAAAACAGGAACAAATGATTTTGTAGTAACAGTCATTAAAATGACCTGGAATCCAACCTCCTCATGCCCACTATCTGAAGTATTCAGTTGATAATCCGTTGTTTAAAATGTGTGATCCATGCATACAAATCTGTGTGGCAATCTTGTAAAAAGGCCGTACTTATCTCCTTCATTCAGATTTTAATGCAAACACTTGAAAGAGTGCACATACATTTTAATTAGTTTTTGATGAAAAAAGGTCTGTAGAAGACAACATAAATTAGATATGGGATTATAAAAATGATGCACACACGGGATAAATCAAAGCTAGGGCTACTGATGTACCTCAGTTAGTGGAGCACATGTTCCCCATACACCAAGGCCCTAAGTTTGATCCCTAGCACAAACAACAAATTAAAGTTCTATGTGAAAGTAGTGTTAAGACTGAGATTCTGAAGACATGTAAGCCATAGATTTTCACAGACTGAGGCTGTAGCTCAGTTGGTAGAGTGCTTGCATAGCATGCATAAAGCCCTGGGTTCTAGCCCGAGCACTATATAAATCAGGTGTGGTGGAGACAGAAGGATCAGAAGTTCAAGATCATTCTCAGCTACATAGTAAGTTCAGGCCAGTATGGGCTACATGAAACCCTGTCTCAATAGTAATTAAGTGTGTTCACGTATTTCCTACTAAGGAGAATGGTCTTCTCAAGTAACAGAGAAGAGATTGGAGGGGATATGGGGGTAAAGTTTAAAAGGTTTTTTACACAAGAGACTTAACAATCAAGTGTGCACTTTTAAAACTCATTCTGGCAGGGCTAGGAGTATGCTCAGTGTTTAAACATGTGTATAGTATGTGGAAGGCCCTGGGAAAGGGAGGGAGCAGAGTGGGAAGGGAAAACAATCACCCTGGCAGCAGTACAGGATGGACTAAAGGCAAGGACATAGTTGGGAGACAAGTCTAATAGTATGATGCTACCCTTAAGAGAACACTGAACATGGAGAGAACACGAAGACGGAGAGTTACGACAACAGGAGAGGAGGAAGAGGCCTGAGTCAGTACCTCCAAACGCCTGGCAAAGTGCATGCACAGTATGTGAAGGGCTCACTGCAACTTTTTCAAATAAAGCAACAGCGGGCATGACAACAGAGAAAAGGGACCAGAGATGACCCCAGGTTTCTGGCCAGGTGAATGACAGTACATCTAAAGGAAGGATGAGGAGGACCAGAGATGAGGAAGAGCTGATAAGCTCCACTCTGGACAGACTAACCAAGAAGCACATGAAGGAAAGTGACTAGACTTCAGTCAGGACCTCAGAAGAAAAACAGGCACTAAACACACTAGCAGACACAGATGTCCAAGTACTGGATGGAGTGGATGGACTATTCCAGAGGAACTGGTACAAGGCAACCAAGGCCAGAGTCCTGGCAAAACAAAGTACAGGGAAACAGCAAAGAAATGATTAGCAAAGATAGCAACAGAAAAAGCAAAGCCAACGTAAAATGGAGCTACAAGTGCTGAAAGTTTTCATGAGAGGGGCCTTCATACCCAAAGTGGTAGAGATCAAAGGCAACCGGAACTGTGGAGACCACTGGGCTAACGATCGCAACAAGGCACTTCTGAGCATTAATGAGGAGCAGTATTGGACAGCTGCGTGGAGACCAGGAGACAGAATCGGGAAGAAAGGTATGGGATCTGAGGTACAGAGGAGAGGCAGTTACAGAGGCCCTAGCTTGTGTTCAAATACGTCACTCGGTTCCCACCATGAGAAAGGAAATGTCCTCACCTCCAGTCTCCATGTCCCTCTAGCTTAAGGTCTCAAGAAAGCCACACTTGGCACACTGCCTTAATGAAGCAAGTTCACGCATTTCCTGAGTCTAAAAACTGTAGCTCTAGAATGAGGCTCTTCACTTTGGAACAAATGCACAATAAGCATCATAAATAGGCAATCAGCACAAATTCTATGTAAATAGTTTCAAACAAATGATTAACGCAAACAAATCCAAAAGATGCAACAAATTAAAAGGTATACTTACAACTAAATCATCTGTTACTTTGATGCATAAATTCCCATCAACATGCCTGTACTTGAGAACTACACGTACCTGCAATAAAAATACATGTTTAAAAACAGTAAAGACAGATGGATGACATTTTTCATAAACAATTTTAGTCTTCAAGTGGAATGAAAAGGATTTTTAGAATAAACATCCAAAACACCTAAAGACACTTTCACTGTAATCTTAGCACTGACATGAGATAAAAGGGAAAGTCAGCCATTAGCTCATTCCTAGTTGGTTTTTTTTTTTTTTTTTTGGACAAGGTCTCCTACAGCCTCAGCCCGCCTGGAACTCACTACATAGACCAGGCTGGCTTTGATCTCACAAAGATCCGTCTGCCTCCCAAGTGAATGGAATCAAAGTCATCCAGCTTCTGTTTCTATTTAAATAGGGGTGTGTGTGTTTTATGGATGTGTGTGTGCAGGTGTGCACACACGGAGGTGAGAGGTCAACATCAAATATCTTTCTCTATTCTCCAGTTTTTAAAAATTTTATTTATTTTTATTTTATGTGTATGAGTGTATTGCCTACATGTAGGTAAGTGCACCCTTGTTGTGCAATGCCCATGGAGGACAAAAGAGGCTGTCTGATCCCCTGGGACTGAAGTTACAGACAGTTGTTAGCTGCCATGTGGGTGCTGGGATTTGAACCTGGGTCTTCTTCAAGAACAGCCAGTGTTCTTAACTGCTGAGCCATCTCTCCAGCCCCAATTTCCACTTTTTAATTTCAAAAAAAACTTTTTTTAATTTTGTGTTTTGCCTGCATTTATGTAGCAGCATCATGCACATGCCTGGTGCCTGTGGAGGGCAGAGGGTATCACATCTCTTGGAAGTTATACTCTTGGGGAGTTACAAATGGTTATGAGCTGCCACGTACATGCTGGGAACAGAGCCTGTGTCCTCTGCAAGAGCTCTTAGCTGCTGAGCCAGCCCAATCCACTTTATTTTTTGAAACCAGGCCTCTCACTAAACTCAGAGCTCACTAAGCTAGGCTGGCTGAGCTCAGGGATCTGCTTGTTTCCTCCCACTCTACTCCTCAGTCTACACTTACAAGTATGCAATCATCTTTTATGCCAGTACTAAGGATCAAAACTCTGGTCCTTATGCTTGAAAATAATTTTTTGCCTGTAGAGAAGGTTGGAGAAAGCAACTCTGAATAAGGATCCAATGAATTCTGTAGCTTTGATGACACTAGACCTGAGGATGATGGAAATGGTAGGAAACAAAGTCAGAAAGGGGAAGAAGGCTGGATGTGGGCTGGGAATTCAAACTTCATTCACCAATCAACGAAGAAGTCTTTAAGCAGAAGACAGTAAATTCAATGTCTGTGTTTTTAGACAGCTGTGGCAGGAGCGTGAAGGTGGGACTAAGGAGGATGGACCTAGCTAAGGGGCTGCTATTCTGCCTACCAGCAGAGCACTTTCAGTTAGAGTCATGCTTAGTGCAGTGGTAAAGGATTACAGGATACAGTCTCCAGACTAACTGTGCAGCAGGAAGAGAAGGCAGACTCTTGGGACACAGATTCCAAAGACGACAAAATATCTTCGTTAGCCCTGGCAGGATCAGAATGGGTTGGAGTTCAGAGCCAGGGTTTGTATTTCAAATGTAAATCATTTATGGAACCTAGCAGTATTTTTATTTCCCTCAATAGAATACTATTCATGTTCTGCAACCTTTTTCCAATCAGAGGAAAACCCAGTCACAATCCAACAGGAAGAAAGCAGGTTTCGGTCATTAGTATGTTCTGTCGGGATAGAAATGAAACGTTCTCCCATTCCTGTCTACTCCAGAAATATTCACCATGAAGTTCTACTGCTTCAATTTTTTCATTTTCCCTTCCACTAGCACCAAATTCTTTTAATTTTTTTTATTTCTTGAAAAGTTCACACATGCATATGTGTATTGATAAATCCACCTCAATTCTCCCCACCGCGACCACACATTCTTTTTTTTTTTTTTTAACAGAGCATGGAGTAGGGGTTTATTTACAGAAGAGTGGGCCCCACATTTATGGTTGTGCCATAAAGTCCAAACTCAAATATAGATCCTGTGACCTCCCGACAGCTGCATAAAATGGTGAGAGGTGCTTCTTGGTGTTCTCAGCTTATATATCTGATGCCCCCCCAATGCAGCTAAGGTCCACTGATTGGGTGGCAGGAATAACCAACACCCCCTCAACTCCTTGATGAGCATGGGAAGGTGTGACTATAGCTTGCCAGCAGAGGGATCAGAAGACATTTCCAGTTAACACTCCACCCCTTCCTCCAGCTCTTACATTCTTTCTGCCAACCTCTTTGGCAAAAGTCCCTGAGCCTTGGAGGGGGTGCCACCACATTCTTAAAGTCACTCCATATGTATCTGTAGACTTTTTACTGTCTTTTCAAATATTCCTTAGTTTATACCATCTACTAAAATTTTTATTTATACTGTTGTCATTATCAGGGCCTGACGGACAAAATTTTGTACCATCTTATAGCACATTGCTTGACTGAGGAAAAGAATGGCTAAGCAAGGGAAAAAGAAACAAGCCAGATGGAGCCACCAGAAGCTACCAGTGTCACAAATTACTCAATTTCAAACATACCTAATTTAACACTCATTACATCACTTTGAAAATGAAACTAATGAACTATTATGTCAATTTAAGAATGGTGTGATTGGGGTTGGAGAGATGGCTCAGTGGTGAAGAGCGGCTGCTCTTGCAGAGGACCTGGGTTTGATTCCCAGCACCCACATGGCAGCTAACATCCGTCTGTAACTCCAGTTCCAGGGAACCCGACGCCCTCTTCTGACCTCTGCAGGCATTGTGCAACATGGGTACATCCACACTCATACATAGAAAATAAAAATATTTTTAAAAATAAAAAAAAATTTAAGAATAGTGTGATAAATGTCAATTTGCCACAACCTAGAATCACTAAGAAGGGGACTAAATGAGGCACTATCTGGGTCCACACAAGTGGTTATGTGGGCACCATCATTCCTTAGGCTGGGCCCTGAACTTTGTAAAAGTAGAGTAGGCTAGCTGAGCACTCAGCAAAGCACAAGTGAGCAGGCAGCATGGATGCATTAGTTCCTCTCTGCTTCTGACCAGATGTAGCTACTTCAAGTTTCTACCTTGTATTACCTAGAAAGAAATAAAGAAGAAAAAAGACTAGGAAGATCTAGAGTTCAAGGTCATCCTCAGTTACAAAGTGAGCTAGAGGCCAACCTGGGCTACATCAGATGAGAAGAAACAATGGGTCAAAATATCCTGCTATCTGTCCAGATCTCCCTATGGTTCTAATGCTTTCCTCAGTCCTTTCCTTTTTTCTTTTTTTGAGGGGGTGAGACAGAGGCTCACTATGTAAGCAGATCTCAAATTCTCTTTTCTCCTGCCTCAGTGGCAGAGTTGGGATTACAGGTGTGCTCCTTCATTTCAGTCTGGGTCTAAGACCACTTCTAATAATAGCAACACACCTTGTGGCAGTTTAAAGAATGCTCATTGTAGCCAGGCGGGTGGTGCACACCTTTAATCCCAGCGCTTGGGAGGCAGAGGCAGGCAGACTTCTGTGAGTTCAAGGCCAGCCTGGTCTACATAGTGAGTTCCAGGACAACTGGGGCTACAGAGAGACCCTGTCTCAAAAAGACCAAAAAATAAACAAATAAATAAATAAATAAGTAAATAAATGCTCATTGTAAAAAATGTGTAGCACCACAGTTACAGGTTATCAGCCCCAATGTAAACTTTTTAAAGAATTTCAAAATTTTTTATTTATTATTGTATGGGCAAATGCCACGCCATGCATGTGGCACTCAAAGCACAACTTGTGGAGTTGGGTTTTTATTCCCACATATACCATGAATTCCAGGAATTGAACTCAGATTATCAAGCTTGCAGGCAAATCTATTACCTGCTGGGAATCTTGCCAGCCCCCAATGTAATCTCTAAAACACAGTTCATGTTTTATGTTGACATTAGAAATTTCATATATTGGCTGGGCATGGTGGCACGTGCCTTTAATATCAGCACTCAGGAGGCAGAGGCAGGCAGAGCTCTGTGAGTTTGAGGCCGGCTACGGCTACACAGTGAGACCCCTGGACAAGGACGGAAAGAATCTCATACTAAAGCTTGAGTTCAGTTTGAGATTAACTATTTTTTTTAATTTGTATTTATTTTATTTTTATGTATATGAGTGTTATGCCTGTATGTACGTAACTGCACCTGTGTCATGCAATGCCCGTGGAGGAGGGAAGAGGCTGTCGGATCCCCTGGAACTGAAGTTAAGGCCAGTTCTTAGCCGCCATGTGGGTGCTGGGACTGGAACCCAGGTCCTCTGCAAGAACAGTCAGTGCTCTTAACCTCTGAGCCGTCTCTCCAGCCCCGAGATGAACTATTTTTCATTTTTTGTCTCCAAAGGGTATATTCACAGTAATTTATTTATCATACCTTCAATAATACCACGGGCTGAATTTCACCTTTGTCTCTCTCATAGAACCTAATCCGGTGAGACGGGAAGAAATAGATATGGTTTGAGAAACGAAACCATTAGCAAAGACGCCTAAGGAGCAGTGTTCTGAGGCATGGTTGTAAGCACGCTCAAGTTTTCAGAAGACTAAGAATCCGCACTATGCCGGGGAGCAGGGCACACTGCTTCCAAACCGGAATCGTCCAAGAACCTCTGAGACTTCACAGTCTGGGTGGGAGGGGGCGGGCGCCGGGACCAGCGCCCCGCAGCAGGCAGAGGGTCCGGGGGAGGAGCCCCGGCCTCAGCGACACGTAAGCCAACCACCCACAGCGGAAGTCAGGAATCCAACGGGCTCGGACCGCTGCAGTCCGTGTCTATGGATGGTCGGCCTCGTCACAGGAAGGCGACAGCAGCCGGAGACCCGAGGGCCCTCACGGCTTCGCCCAAGAGAAAATTACCCCCAGCCTGGGCCCCGCCGCGACTCACCTTCATGGGGTCGGCGAGGTAGAGCTTCTCAGCCGCGCGGCTGAACTCCTCCCAGGTCTGGAACTGAGGCATCGCGGCGAGCAGCGAGAGGCCAGGCCCCGGACGAGAAACGACGACGCCACCGGCTCCCCGCCCCCCTCTCCCAACCGCCCACCGACGCTGAGCTCCGGCACAAAGATGGAGACGCTCCCCGCAACCAGCACTCACACCATTGGACAGCCTCGGCCTCGCTTGTCCAATGGGCAGGAAGGATGCTGCAGCGACGGGCGGGACCTCGGCTTAAGGAGCGGGGCCTAGACGAGAGGCACTGAGAATCCGCCTAGAGAAGTCCGGAGCAAGGAGACGGATGGTGGCGGACACAGCGTCTCCTGCAGGACTGGAGGATCCATGCCTGTGCCTCGGGCTTCTGCAAACAGACAGAAAGTCCCTTTAAGACTGAGCAGCTCTGTGATGGAGATGACAAGGTTCAACTGTCATACAGCTTAGTGAAGGGGCGAGAGGAGACAACGGGAGTGCAGCCAAGAACTTTCTATGGTTGACTTTTGTATTGGGTCAGTGGAGCACAAAAATGATCACCTTTAGGTAGAGGGTGGCTCATAGAGGTGAAGATGGGTCAGATATCTAGGCCCATTTTAGATCTGCAGTGTACTCAACATGAATAGTGTTTAGGGGATGGAAAAGCATTGGGAGAAGCTGCATCATTACATCTGCTAGAATAAGAAATGTGAGCCTTGGGGCAGGAGCGATGATTCAGCAGTTAAGACCACTGGCTGCTCTTGCTGAGGATTGGGGTTCCATTCCCAGAACCCATATGCTAACAACCGTTGATAGCACCAGTTCCAGGTGAATCCAACACCCTTTTCTGACCTCTACTATTGCAGGACACAGATGCACTTAGACACATATAGGCAATACACTCATACACATAAAAATAATAAATAAAAAAATTTTTTTTTAAATGTGACCCCAGGCCAGGTGTGGTGGTGCAGGCCTTTAATCCCAGCACTCAGGAAGCAGAAGCAGGCAGATCTCTGTGAGTTCAAGGCCAGCCTGGTCTACATAGTGAATTCCAGGCCAGCTGGGGCTACAGGGAGACCCTGTCTCAAAAAGACCAAAAAAAAAAAAAGACGAAGGAGGAAGGAAGGAAGGAAGGAGAAAGACAAAGAAAGAAAGAAAGAAAAGAAAGAAAGGAAGGAAGAAAGAAAGAAAAAGAAAGGAAGGAAGGAAGGAGCCTGTCCTCCAGGCAATGTGTGACAGAGGATACCTATTAAAATACAGTTTTTGAGGTGTATTCTAGGAGCAATAAACTCCTAGAATTTAAGATTATACTTTCATGAATTTTGACAAATGTATGAAGCATTTATCTACATGCCTGATATCATAGGGTATTTTTTATCTCCAGAGAGCTCCTTCATGCCTCTTTAATAATTTCTACTCACACTCCTGTCCCACAGATATGCTTCCTCTTACTATGAATTACTTTTCCCTGTTCAGTGAACAACTTTAAGCATTTGTGTGTGCATGTGTGTGTGTGTGTGTGTGTGTGCGCGCGCGCGCGCGCGCTTTGGTTTTGGTTTGCAGTGCTGGGGATTGAACCCAGGGCTTTGCATATGCTAGGCATGGTCTCAACCACTGAGTTATAACCCCAACTTACTTTCTTGCATTATTTCTCTCTCTCTCTCTCTCTCTCTCTCTCTCACTCTCTCTCTCTCTCTTTCTCTCTCTGTCCATCTTCTCTTTCCTTCCCTGTCTTGCCTCATCTTGTATTTTTTGAGTAGTTGGGACTGTACAGCCATGACTAGACAGATTTATTTATTAATTAATTTATTTATTTACTTGCTGTCTTAGATATAGGGTGTTATGTACCCAGGAAGGCCTTGAACTCACTATGTAGCTGAGGACAACCTCGGACTCCTGATCCTCCTGCCTTAACCTCCCAAGTGCTGGTACCACCACACTTGGCAAAAGTACATTTTCTGAAGCTGCAGCCAGTGCTCTTAACCACTGAGCCATCTCTCCAGCCCAAATATTTTATTATTTTTATTATATGTGTATGAGTGTATTGCCTGCACGTATGTAAGTATACCCATGTCGTGCAATGCCCATGGAGGTCAGAAAAGGGCATCAAATCCCCTGGAACTGGAGTTATAGACAATTGTTAGCCACCATGTGGGTGCTGGGAGCCAAACCCAGGATCTCTGCAAGAGCAGCCAGTGCTCTTAACTGCTGAGCCACCTCTCCAGCCCCTGCTCACCCTTAAATTGCTTTTGTCAAGCATTTTCTCACCACAAAAAGTACTTAATACACTAATTCTGAGAACTGTCTATGGCATCTCATATAGAAATTGACCTTATCTGCAGTACTAGATCAGATCTACAAGGCTCCCTACTTTCTCAATCTGAGGCTACCTGGATCATGGATGCTAAGAAGTTTTTTAGAACTACAACATAGGCTTTCGTGATATACAATAGTGAGCCTCACAAAGGGAATCAAATCTAGACCCTTCTTGAATTATTCTACATCAGCCCCCAAAGCAGAATTAATTACCCTCACTAGGGCTCTCCAGCTGGGGGCAAGAAAGACAATATTGACACAGATTCAGCTTATGCTTTCCATGTGACCCAGCCATCTGGAGAGAAAGGAGCCTTCTCACTGCCCATAATACCCTGATTAAACATGCCCCTAAGATTTTGACCCTTCCAGAAGCCATCTGGCTTCTAACCCATGTGGCCATTATACATTGCAAGGCCCATCAAAAAGACCATTCTGACATCTCTCATGGGAACAATTAAACAGATCAACAGGCTACATAGGCAGCTAAGCCTCCACTCCATGCTTCCTAAATTCCCAATCCCACTCTCCCATGTCCATAATGTACCTCTCAGGAAACCCAAAACACTTTAGATCAGGCCTTTTCAGTCACACCCAAAGGATAGGGCCAAAATGCAAGCTGCTGTTCCCTGGATCCTCCCACGAGAGATCTTAACAATTCTCATTAAGCCACACATTCAGAACCAAATCCCTCCAAATTCTAATTGAGCCTGTCTTCACAGACACAGTCTTCCTTGAACCTTGTGACCCTTTTCTAAAGCTTGTCCTACTTGTCAAGCAAGTCCAGAGGGGTTATTTAAACCTACTTCCCTTCTACGGCTGTCCAGCATAAAGGAACTATGCTGGGGGAATATTGGCAAATAGATTAAATTCACAAATGCACTCGTGCAAGGGACCCAGATATCTGCTAGTGCTAATAAATGCCTTCACTAGATGGATACAGGCATTCCTCAATAAAACAGAAAGGGACTACAGAACAGATTCTTTCTTTGGGCTTCCCTAGTTCCTACAGTCTGGTGATGGCTTGGTTTTCATTTCTAGTATCTTTGCGCCACCCTGTCATCTTCAATCTTCTGGAAAGGTTGAAAGGGAAAACCTTTAGTGATTTCTTACCAAGCTCACACTCAAGATTCAATAGTCTTGATCTACTCTTCCCAGTCTCCTCTTTAATTTTCCACATTGCCTCCAAGTCATCTGCACATCTCAGCCCTTTCAGAGTCCTATATGGTAGGCCCTTCCTCCAAGCTCATCTCTTATTAGATCCTGGGGCTTATTATCTGTGTGTTATATCTTGGAGATAGGCCATTACTGACTACTAGGGTATGTGCAGCCCCCAATTTGACCTCACTTTTTCAGGATTTTATCCTCATATTAGCTCAGGGGGTTGGGTCTATTTTAAAAGTCTCCCACAGGATCTAATACTACTTGTGGCTGTTTGGCTTAGACCTTACCAAGTCCTGCTCATGTCTCCAACCACAGTCAAGCTACAAGGCCTATCATCATGTGTTAACCTGCCCAGAGTTAAATAACTAGTCTACCCTTAGAATCTCCAAGGGTCTACTCCTTTGAGCATCTTGCAGATCTCCATCTCTTCTTTCATTGAGACCCAAGAGAAATCCACCCTCAAACACTGTATTTGTTACATGTATCTTTATTGAATACAAGAGAAAAGCAACCTAAGGAAGGAAAGGTTTATTGAGGCTCACAGTCTGAGGGTACAGTCCATCATGATGGGGAAGCATGAGGCAGCTGCTCATATCATGCCCACAGTCACAAAGCACAGACAGACTGGCTGGTTGACATCTTCCTTTTTATTTAGTCTAGGACTACAACCTGTGGGATGGTACCGCCCACATTCAGAGACGGTCTTCCCTCAGAGCACCCTCATAGACATACCCAGAGGTGTGTTTCCAAGTCATTTTAAATCCTGTCAGGTTAACAATAAAGATTTACCATCATAAAAACCTCTAGACTCTAACAAGTAGCCAAGATACTCTCTAATCTTTCTGGATTTTGTGGTTTAATTTTATAAACTCTCTCCTTATTTCATCAACATTCTGCATTACTCAACCCAGCTTAGGACATTTATCTTGGGCTATTCCTAGACCAAAGTCACCACTTCCCTGGAGTTTTGACTCCTGTCTTTAACCCCTTGCTCTGATATCACTGAGTTTTATCCTGGATATTGGGCTTCTTCTCACCTCTATCATCACAATTTATCTTAAGCTGTGCCGGTCAACCTGAAATCACCTTATGGTGTTTGTACGAGATGATCACTTATGCTCTAATGTACAGCCTTACCCTCATGGATAATTGCCCTGGCTCTGTCATAGCCTCCCCTGACTCCCCTGGGCATTGGATCTGAAGGTACCAATCATTGGTTTTCACCCTCTCAAGTTCTCCCAAGTGACATCCTTGGGGTTTTAAATTCCACATCCACACTGTAGGACTACTGGATTGGTACTTACTCCACACCTCTTCTGTGAACTTCAGGTTCATATATTACAAATATGCAATGTCTTAGGATAAGACCAAAGTTGAATTCGGGAGATTAAAACAATTTCTCAGCAAATCAAAATAATGCCTAAGCAATAAATGTAATACCTGTTTCCTTAAGACTTAGTGTTACCATTGATAAATTACTAGCCACTCCTACACTATATTTGAGAGTCAGGAATTCAATAGTTATGAACTGCAGGCTTTACAAGCCAGTTATTATGTTGAGCAGAGTACTTTATAGGCTAATGAGGCCAGGGACAGAGGCAATAAGACAAGTTCACAAATACTTATTGACTGAAGACAGCAAGCTTCTCACAAGAGCCAGAGCATTCTAATCGCTGAGGTTCCCTTATCTACGGTT